CCTGCCCCTGCTCCTGTGCCTGCCCCTGCTCCTGTCCCTGCCTCTGCCCCTGCACACGAGGCCCGCCTGGGGCGGCAGGCTCGGTACCGCTGCCTAGGCGCTGCCATTTGCGCTGCAAACCAGCCAGCAGAGATGCTGATGGGAGAGGGGTGGCCGGGGCCAAGGAAGGGCATCAGTGCTCAACGGTGCTCGTGGCATGCGATGCACAAGGCCTGCTTTCAGGCACAGCCACACACACAGACGGCTGCATCAGTGTTGGCTCTGGGGACCTCCACCCAAACCAGCAGCAACGGCAAAGGCAAAGGGGAAAACGGGGCTGGAGGAGGCAGGAAAGAGAGGGAGCAGGCTCCGTGGAAAAGCCTCTTGTGATGGGGAAAACACGGAGGGTCTCAAGGAGGAAGAAAAGCTAAAGGGGGAGTGGGCATGAGGGAATGGCACAAGCAGGAAGAGGGGCACCTCATGGCTGTTTCTTTCTCTTGATTCAACTCATTTCTGGACAGAAAGAAATGAGTAGCAAGACATAGAAAAGAAAAAGCATAAAACCCAGGAGGAACAAAGCTGGGAACACACTGCTGCTGAATAAAAGCTTCATTAGCCCCCTCAGCATGGCAGAAATCACAGAAAAAGAAATCAGTGTGATGCAAAGGGACTGACTGACAAGGGAGACAGTGGATTTACCTTTCCAGGTGTCTTCAAATCTGTCCGAATGCCTTTCTGGAGCTGCCTTTGTCAAGGAAGTCATTGACAGGGGGGGGCAACATAGCAAAATTTTCTGGACTGCAGGTATAGATGAGGCTAGATGGCCCTTTGCTGCCTCAGTCTGCGAACCTACAGGAAGACAACACGAAGAAGGCCTCAGCGAGCTGCCGTTACCATGTTTCTTGGTAAAGGCCTCACGTGCGCGTTACCGGTGTTGGCGCCGCACTCGCTGCTCCATGAGCGGGCACTGCTCGGCAGGTCCCCTCCGGGCCCACGGCCTCGGGGCGGCGCCGAGCGGGGATGCAGCCCCCGGGGCCCCGTGGCCGCGAGCAGCCCAGCGCCCTGAGGAGGAGCAGGGGCTCTTGCTCTTCTGCCGCCGTCTGCTGGGCACGGTGGGTGCTTGGGAGCGGATAGGGATGGTCAGAGATGGCTGTGTGGAAACATTTACTCAGGACGCAGGAGCAGTCCAAAGGGTAGGCTGACTATTAAGAATTACTAGGAAAATAATAGAGAACAGACCATAGTTATGCCTCTGAACAGATCCTTAATGCGATCTGCATGGTGGTTTCCACATGCAGTTCTGGTCAGCCTCTCAAGAAAAACAGGGTTGGAAGGGCTTTGGAGAAGAGCAACAAGGCTGATCAAACACAAGCAATATCTTCCATATGAGGAATAACTAGATAGTCTCTTCAGCCTGGAAAAGTGATGACTGAAAGGAGGTGTGACAGAGGATTATAAAATCAAGTCTGGCGTGTAGAGGTTGACTGCAGTATGAGTTCTCACTGTCCTGTTAATACAAGAACTAGCAGCACCTCATAAATCAGCAGGTAACAAGTAGGAAACAAGTTTTTTTTTTTAACATGTCATATATTGTGTTGAGTTGCTTGGTCAGGATATGGTAGGTCCCCAAAATGTATATGCATTCAAGGAGATGAAGTATTTCCATGGGAGCAAAATCCACAGATACTGATTAAACAGCAGAGCCCAGCTTTGCTTTGGAAGCCTTGGAGCCAGTGATCACAGGAGGCTGGTGGTGTTTTCTGGCAGGAGCGCTGTGGTGAGGAGCTGTTCTTCCCGCTCCCAAGATGATGGTCGGAAGTACAGTAGCTCTGGAGCTGCTGGCTGCAGCAGCACTGTTTGCATGTTGGCTGTCACCAGTCACACGGGGTTGACATACAGGTGCTTTTTGAGGAGTTTTGTGCATGTCTGTGTGGCGCCCTCGAAGCAGTGTGCAGCCATCTCCACCTGCGCGCGCTGCTGCCCTTGCGGGATTACGAGCAGTGGCCATGGGAGGGAGGCCCATGCCCTGAGGCTCCGTCGGGGCGCCGCCATCCCGCTGCTGATGGCGCGTGCGGAGCAGCCACAGTGCTGCCCACGCTGCCTGCCCGGCGCCGGCTCTGGGCTTCGTGGCCAGAGGAGCGGGCCGGGCCGAGCCTGCCCCCAGCCTACGCGCTGGCTGCTCCGGGGCCTTGCGCTGAATCCCCTGCCATCGCATCTGCTGCTTTCAGCCTTTACCTGCTCTAACACCAGCAGCCAAGTGGCCGCTCTGCAGCGGGCTGCAGCTGTCGCAACTCTGCAGTGGCGCCTCTCCTCCTCAGGTCAGCCTGTGTTCTGTTTTTTCCACAAGAACTGGTGTCTGCCAGGGCTGGTGCAGGAACCTGCAACGAGGTGCGGAGCAAGTGGAGCACAGTGGCTTCCTGGTGGGTACAAATCTGCACCGTTATTTCTGCAGCATATGGAACCAGGAGACCTCTGATTACTGTCACATTTCTCATCTTCATGTGGAATTTGTCTGGGCAGCTGCCATTCCCGCAAGGCAACTTCAAATGAATGAAATGAATTACTGTTTTTCATATTGCACAAAGTGATTCCAAATACCCCAGTTCAGATGTACTAGCCAAATTCCAGGAATCAATCACCAAATCACCCTGTCTCATTCCGGAACAAGCTACCAGTGGAGAGACTGAAAACAGGGTTTTTTTGTAGCTACACTGAAACTTCACAGATGATTTTAAGCCTCTTAGGCAGCATAATACCGAATGCAGGTTCCTGCTGAGGGCTATCGACTCCGGTATGTGCCAGGCTGCAGAGAAGCCCCTGTGCCGAGCCGTGCCTGCGAGTGACCGAGCACGGCCCTCGCCACGAGCGGCTCAGATCAGAGCGCCGCTTCCCGGGGTGTCCCGTCAGCAGCCGCTAAGCTCCCCGTTCAGCAGGAGGGACCTGTGCAGCTGCAAGGTGCAACGCACCAGGGAGCAGCAGCATGTTCAGGACACCTGCAGGGATGTGGATGTGGAGACGCGCAGCCGCGGACACCGGCCCTGCACGCGCCCGGGCCAGGCCCAGGCTGCCTGCGAGCGCCCACCGGCCCTGAGCGCAGCAGTGTGTGCCGCAGTTCCAGCCCGGTTTCTCTCAAAGAAGAGAGAAGCTTCTCTGCTTTCCTGCTGCTGTGGTGCTGGAGATGTCTGTGTGCTGCGACGCAAGGAGGTGCCTTCATAACAAGGAAGCACCGAGTGTGTTTGGGTGCCGTAGGGCCCGGCATTGAGGAGCGCTGCTCGACCAGCCCCCTCCTGCGGCTCCCCGAGTCGGCAGCGCGAGGTGGAGGATCTGGGACCCTTCCCTTGGCCCCGTGCAGGGGGTTTGAGAGACAGCGCGGCCAGGCCCCCGCTGCACTCCTGGGGACGGGCTGCCTGGGGCTGTCCCTTTTGTCACCTCAGGCATGGGCTTTGTCACACACTTGGTATTCCGCGGCACGGCGCGCTCCGCAGGGGGCTGCCGTCTGCTGCGCAGCCATTACCCGACACCGTCCCTGCCGCATTCCCTCCGCCACAAAAAGAAGAGGCCGGTCCTGAGCTGTGATGGATGTCACCCGGCCTTCCCCTTCCCTTTCTCTGTCCCATCATCCCGTTTAATCACTGAGCGTGGCAGTAAGTCAAACATCATATCGGAAGAGTGATTTGAGCAAGGTTAGCTCTGCTCAGAACCCTTCCGCGTGCTAATCGAGAGCTCAGGGAGCAAGAGGGTCCCTGCTCTTGCATGGAAATGCTTCCCTATTTCTGGAATTTGTTAGTACAAAATCAAAATTATGGGCTACAATGCTTTCCATTCCTTTCTTTCACTCTGAATTAAAGACCATCTACTGAAGACTCTCACTTCAAAAGCAGCAAGGCACTTTCTAATATCAAGCAAAATGCCTGAAGAATAAATTGCTCCTATCAGAAATAAAGCATTTTAGTTCTGCCACAAGCAGGGAGATCTGTGTTTATAAGTCTCTCCAAAGGCAACTCCATCTTTCCTGCTTTCCTCTCATTTTCTTTTGATGCACAAAGCCTGCATGCTGCAGTGCTGTGATTGGATTCAGCTTTGGAGCAGTGTAATTGTAAATATTCATTGGAATCCAAGCTAGTTTTCCCAAGTCTCTCTTAAAGGCTCTGCAGCTATACAAACAGCCGTGGCTCTGCATTAGCCTCACAGCCTGGAGGCTCCCTGCCTCTCCACAGCCCCAAAGACTGCTCCTTCAGAGACTGCGCGGAAGAGATCTGCCCTGCAGACCATTTTAGTCGATGCTCAATTATTTTCTTTATTCTCCCCACAGTGCCGGTGCTGTGCATCTGTCCCCGGGCCCGGTGGGTCCCTCTGCAGTGTCTGTGCCCACGACCTCGACTCGCATCGTGGCTGCTTGTGCCCGGCTCCATGTGACCACAGCTGGTGCCGGCACCTCTGCAGCAGCCCCTGTGTCCTGGGGTATCCTGGGCACCTTCCACCCTCTCCCACTGAGGACCTGTCATCTGGGTGACTGCTGCTTTGTGCTAACCTTGCACCCTACTCGTTACTGAGGAGAACGCAGGTCAACCCTTGATATCCAGGCAATTCTGCCTCCCTTGCTACCAGGGTGCCACGACAGTGCTCGGACACTGGGTAGGCAAAGGGCAGTGGCCTCCTGCGTCTGTCAGGAGCAGAGGGGAGTTCTCCCCGTGGCCACTCTGAGCTCCACGCTGCGTGCGCCGACCTGACACAGCCACTGCGTAGCCAGAGGAACGGGCGTCCAGCCAGCCTTACTCTCCAGGTGGTCTTGACCGAAAGCCATGTCCTGTACAGTTCATTCCCAAAGCAGCACATGCAGGAAACCGCACACAGATATTCTGCTGAGGACACAAATTGAACCCAAAGGTCCTGACAGCAAATCTGCACTCCCATCTTCCATCCACCCTTACATTTACCGCCGAGGGTGGGAGTGCAGTGCTCACGCCAAGGCCTGCGGCACTGCAGCACGTCTTGCAGATGGTGGTATCAGATCTCCATCAAGCCCTGACATCCTCCAGGCCCTGCTTGCTCACTTCAGCAGATGTTAAAGCACATGTTCTGGCTACTGGGTAACCTGTGAGCAGATAAGTAGGCAGTAAAAGGGACCAAACCCAGCTTGCTTTCCACATGCAGTTTCCTAGGAAATGTCCTTCCAGCTCTGGAAACAAGGCTCGTATCAGCTCCAGCTCAAGCAGTGCAGATCACTGCATGTCACCACAGCAGAGCAGCTCAGGGGCTGCCGGCCACACAGATCCGTCCCGCTCTGTAGCAGGTCCTGGTCCTGCTTCTCGCAGCAGCAGCTCTCAGCACTGGGGCAGCTGCTGCTCTGTCCCTGCCAGCGTGGGGCAGTCGGGCTGCTCGGGAGGGCAGGGAGCAGCACCCAGCCACGGGCTCAGTGCCCACGGCGGCAGCAGGCTGTTCTATGAGGCATCTGCCAACTTGTCCCTCCGCAGGACGGGACAGGGGAGTCACTGCACACCCAGCGCTCAGGATGGAGCACCTTGTTTCCTGAGGAGAGCTGGGAGACCAGCATGAACCAGGAGGACACATAAGGATGAGCTTACATGGGAAAACAGGCACAGAATGGGCTGTTTCAGTAACTGCTGACTTGCAGTAAGGTAAATCAGGATGTCAACACCAACAGGACAGAAACAAGGTTCAGTTCAGGCTCCTGTGAAAAGAGTCTAGGAAAGTGGAACCCATGCATGCAATGCAATGCCAATGAGTCTTACCTATAAGTAAGCACTGCTGAGCTATAACTCACCTCTTCAACCTGCTTTAGAGCTAACATTTAGTGATTCCACAGTGCTCCTGACAATGAGTCTGCAGAACCATAAAATGAGATGCCAAGAAAGAGAGACTATTCAAATACAAACACACAAACCAGCAGTGCTGGCCAGCGCAAGGACATGGGCAGCACCTGTGGAGGTGTGAGAACACCTGCAGCTCAACACTGGGATCCTGTGGAGACCGGGAACAGCACACGAGTGACCACCCACCTGAGACGCAAGTGCACTCATTATTTTTCCAGAAAGGAGAATCACTCCAGGAAATGAGGTGTGAATACCGTGAATATCAAAGGAGACCATGCAGTGGGGCTCTGAAGAGGGCAGAGATGGGTTTCAAGGTGTGAGCACAGTCAGGTTTAGAAAATCATCCAGCACCCAGAGCAAGACTGGAAGGATCCCTAAGTGGCTAGTAGCCCATAGCCTGTGCTAAGAGGGGAGGCTTCAGGTGCCCTGGCTCTGGTCTATCTTTCCTTAAAAATCTCTGGCGATGCAGAATCCCAAGGCCTCCAGGGAGCTTGCTGGTGGGTTTTGTTCTCCTCCCCATTAAGAAACTCTTCCTAACCTGAGGCTTTCATGATGCAGGGTACGCCCATTAGTTTTTGTGGTGCCTTCATGGACATGGATAACAGGTGGCTCTGTTCCTCTCTTCAGGAGTTTCTTACACAAAGCTGGTGTTGTGATCTTCCTTAGTCATGAAGGAGAAAAAAACTCAAGCCAGATCAGACGCAACAAAAGGATCTTGGCTGGTGGAACTCACAGGCACACAAAGCAGCCGCAGACATGAGTGCCCTGTGAGGACAGACAAAGTAATGAGCCCTGTGTACAGATAACGGCTGTGCAGAAAGAAACACCCTGTCCTGGGCATGAGCCAGTCTCTAAATGAGCCCCTGGAACGAGCAGCTCTGAGCCACCTGCCCTGCGAGTTTCCTGCACCTTTCTCTGCAGTAGCTGTGGGCCCTGCTGAGGACAGGCCGCCTGGTCTCAAACACTGCAGCAGTTCACTGCTTCTCACAGCTGCCCGGGGCTCTTGAAGGGAGGAATCTGGACCTTGCTCTGAGCAATCAGTCTGATGTGCCAAAGCTTGACATTCTCCTGCAGAGCAAAATGTGATGCTCTTGCTGCATCAGTTCCCTTGCAGAGCATGTGATGGCCCAAAGCAGATGCTCTGACAGCACACGCGAGTGCGGGGACAGCCCCTTGGCTGCTGGGGCTGCCCTGCCTGGCGCCCTGGCCCCTCGCCGCCTCTCCCCGCTGCTCGCCCTGCGTCTGGCAGCCGGCCCTGCTGCCTGGAGAGGCTCCTCAGGCCGGAGCGACGCAGGGTCCAGGTCTCCAACAGGAACGTGCCCGCGGGCTCTCCAGCCTCGCGAAGCTGCAGGAGCTGAGCAGGGCACTGGCACCATCACGCACCCGTCCATCGTGGCACAGCCCCGCTGCGCTGAAACCTTCCTGGCACGAGGCGGGAGCAGCGTCCCTGCTGCGCCGCTCCCTCCTGCAGAGCAAGGAGCGCCGGACTCCTCGAAGCCCCAGCCACCATGATTTATCTGGGTCATGGCGAGGACAGCTGGCTAACTGAGGTTAACAGCTTTCTCAGTTTCATTTCAAAAAGTCATTAGCATGGGGGCTGTATTAAACAGTGATATGCCAAATCCTGATTCATTCACCAGGAGAGCTGGCGGTCAGGTGGGGGCTCGGCTGACAGGAGGGCTGTTCTGCTAGCCTTTCCTAAAGGGCAGGCCCATAACTCACGTTCCCAGAGCTAAATTGCACCTGACACGCCAGGCAGAGGCTCCGGGCATGTGCAGCCTGCTAGAGGCACCCGGGGACCATCGCCCTGGGAGCACAAAACCACCCAGGCACCTCCTGAGCACCAGCCAGGCCCCCAAATTGGGAGATTTACCGGAGAAAACCCACGTCAGCTCCCAGTTCAGGAGAGGCACCGGCGCCCTGTGCCACAGACCCGAGCTGTGCTCTGCTCCCTCGCTCCCGCTTCACCCGCTGGCCTCAGCGTCTGCCTCCTGTCCTGGGGCCCGGCACGCCTCCGTCCCCGGGCAAGGGCGAGCGGCAGCACAGGCTCAAACACCGTAGCAGAGATGCTGCAAAGGGAAAGAGACACAAAACCTTCTGCCGCCCTGGACTGCTGTGCAGCCACGCAATGTTGAACACATAAGGGGAAAACAGCGAGAGCTTTGAGCCCTGCTGCAGAGGATAGAAGCGTCTGAACCACCGCTGTATGGGCAGTGCATGAACAGCAGGGCCAGGGCCATGCTGCTGTCCTCCTGCAAGCTCTTATGGGCGTCAGCAACTTCATATGGAGGACAATTTTGCACCAGGCGTGTGTGTGTCTGCTGGTACATGAAGAAGGAAGTGATGGTGGTGGTGGAAAAACACTGAGGAGTTGTAAGAAAGACAATTTGCAGAGACAGAGAAGTGATTAATACACAAGCAAAAAGATGCGCCTGGTCCAGAAGAGACTGTGAAGTGGGTACAAGGAGCGAGGGAAAACTGAATGTTGCAGACGTGGATGGTGGAAGGTTCTGGCCCATAGAAAGGACGAGGGGCAGTTCAAAAGCCAGGCTGCTCCCCACGAGCTCCCTTGGAGCTCCAGGACTGGGGAGATGGAAGAGTGGTCCTGGGAAGGGGAGGATGGAAACAAGGGAAGATCGCGGAAATGTGGACATGGCTGGAGAAGATAGGAGAAGAGACCATGCACAGGCAGGCGGGTTTGGAGATGTGGCAGAGGGGAAAGCATGCTCTGTTTTTAGTGAAATGCTCCCCTTCCCTGTAACTCCACAAACAGCAGAACTAAAAGCAACAGAACAAAGTACAGTGGAGGGCAAGAGAGATGATGCAGCATTGGAACAGCTTCCCTGATTAAAAACAGCTTCCCTGATTAAAATTTTCCCTGACAAAAAGACAAGACTAGGGCTCTTCTGCTTGGAAAAGGGATGATGGAGGAAGCCTGACAGAGGTCTATGAAACCATGAGTGTCATACAGCAGGTGAATAATGATTGCTTGTGGTCTTTTCCAATGACCACTGGACAGAAATGACTGGGTGACAGGTCAAAAGGAAGGGAAGCAGCTCTACTCCCTACACAGCTAAGCTGAGGAACTCTCTGCTGTGGCTGCAAAGAGGCAGCCTTCAGCCAAGGCTCTGGCAGCTCCTACCACAGCCCCAGGGGCTGGGGCAGCACCTTGGGGTGATGCCTGCTGCTCTTGCCGGGCACAGATGTGGGTCTAAGGGGAGCCCCCCTCCCACCCACAGCAGTGCTGTGTTCATGTACAGCAAGACTTGATGTTCAGTGCTTTACTGGGGGCTTTTGTAAGAGGCAGTTTGGACCTGGGCTGTCCTATCTGTCACTGTAACACCAACCCAAGCAGGAAGGATCAGCTGAACTCATCATGAGGAAAAGAGAAAGGAAAAAGGAAGCGAAAAGAAGGCAATAAGAGTATGTAGGAAAAAAGGACATGTGTGATTCCCCTCCCAGGCTCGCCCTGCAGAAAGGCGTGTGCACATCAGTACGTGACGCGTGTGCACACAGATCTGCAGGCTCTGAGGCACGTTCACCTGTCCTCCCCCATCTGTGCACGCGGGCAAACGCACACAGCCCCGCGAGCAGCCCCGCATGCACCCTGCACGCAGCCCCTGTGTGCAGCCCCCGCTCACAGCCCCGCATGCACCCTGCACGCAGCCCCTGTGTGCAGCCCCCGCTCACAGCCCCTGTGCGCAGCCCCGCACGCAGCACCTGCCATGTGAGAGCAGCATGTCTGTCTGCCCGCACACCGTGCCGCACACCCGCACTCGTACACACACACACACACACACACACACACGCACCCAACACCCCCCTCTGCGTGTGCACACCGCACACACATACACCCTGCACAGCCACCCACCCTGCACGCACACACACACACACACACACACGTGCGTGTTTGGAGAACAATGGATGACTTGGCTACAGGAGGAAGAGCTGCTTACGTGTCTCCAAAGGCAATGAACATACCTCATCATCAACACATTAACTGAAACAAAGCAAGCGTTTCCACTTTGAATAATGAGGGAAAAAAACTGCAAAGCTGCCCTCATTCTGGAGAAACATCTGTGCTGAGCTCCTGCTATCCATCACGCTGGGACCTGATCCTCCAGGATCAATTCCTATCTGCTTTAGTCTCCCAGTGTGCTGAGAACAGCCAGGCTGCTAGACAAAGAAAAGCTCTGCGCTCTGGGTGTGCAGGCAGACAGGCAGCAGGCACCGCAGAGCACAGGTGCCCTGCGTCGTGCAGCAGCTGGGGCTGCAGGTCTCCAGGACCAGTCCCCGGGTGCAAGGTCTGGTTGCCCACGGATGCCTCCCGAGACAGTGCAATGCGTGGGCAGTCGCTGCGTGGCACATGGCTCCTGCTCCCGGGCAGGGCAAGGGGTCGGAGCTGGCAGGGCACCACGCGGGCGCCGCACGGAGGGAGCACAGGCTCCGGCACCCAGCAGGCCCTGCAGAGCAAGTGGGACATTCCCGCCCGGCACGTCCGCACAGGCAGGGCTTCATCCGCCAGGTCCGAACGGCCTGGCCTCAGGTGCCTGGCGGGCTTGGTCCCTGCTGCTCTGCACCAGCTGCCCCCTCGCAGGGAACCCAGGACCCTGCTCAGTGCCACAGACACCCAGGCCGCCCCGTCCGCCCGCAGCAGAGCTGCCACTTCCCTCGACTTTCCCTCCTCACCAGGCGTCTGCAGGCTCTGCTCCTGCACCTTCACCCTTTCCCTATGTTGCCATTTCAACCAGGGTGGTAGACTATTACTGTGGCTGTGAATACACGAAATGACGTTCCCGTCCCGTCCGGCCGAGCCGTCCCGGAGCAGCATCCACCCCTACCTGCTCTCGCGCCTCCTCCAGCACCTGGCGCCGGCCTCCAGGTCCAGGCTGAGCTGCTGGATCCGGCTGCATCTCTGCTCCAGGTCTGCCTGCCTCTCCCTCTGCTTGGTCTGCAGTTGATAGATCCTCTGCTCTTGAGCATCCAGCTATTGACCCGCCCAGGGAAAGAAAGAAAAAATGGAAAAAAAAATCAATTAATACTAAACGGCTTAACAAAACCCCGAACAGCACAGACCTGATGCTGCTGGGGGTGGGGATTGCTGGGAGGAGACACCCCCGCACACACAAGCTGCAAAAACCCGATATTGTGGGGACAGGAAGCCAATATGGTAGGTGTGATCTGACACGCGTGCCAGCGGCAGCAGGGTATGTCCAGCTGGGGAAGCCAGGGAGCCCGCGGCACCGGCTGCCACCTCTGCGCTCCTAGGGCTGCCAGAGCTCCCGCCTGGGCACAGCAGGCAAAGAGTGTCCCAGCAAATGCAAAGTTATGACAGCAAATACATAACTAAATCACCGGCTCCCGATCCAGCTGTGTTTGGCAGCTCTGTGCTCCAAAGACGCCTCCATGCGGGCGGAGGGGACACGGGAGCTCGTGGCCAGGCTGTCCCTGCTGTCCCTGGCGTGGCGCTGGGCTCTGCACGTGGCTGCGGTTTGCACGAGGAGCATGGAGGCTCTGGTGCCAACCAGCGCAACGAGGCTGCAGCACAGACCCTGCTGCGCCAGCTCTGCGGGGCGGCCGGTCCCAGCAGCAGCCAGGGGCGCCTGCAGGATGCTGCTCACCATCCCCAGACAGGCGCCAAGAGCCTTGGCCGCGCGAGGGAGCAAGGGCTGCGTGTGGCTCCAGCTGTTCCAGGGACACAGGAGAGAAAAGGGACTAGGTACCCCAGAGGATGGTGTGGTTGCTTTCTATATTCAGCACTGAGGAATCCTCTTAACCGTGCAGCCAGGAGCTGCATGATGCCTTGGCACGTTGAAGGGGCCTGCGGGTGGCAAAGCCATCCCTGCAGCTGAAACCAGTCTGTCTCCTTCCCTGCCCATGGACGGCAGGACACAGCCTTGGTCTGTGCAGAGATGGGCCGTCTGGAGCTACCGAAAACACCGAGGTGACGCACGGGACACCAACGACGCGGAGAGCTCTCGAGTGGAGACCTGGTGCGTGTTTCTTCCCCTGCCGCAGCTCCCGGCAGGTTAGCGGACAGCACCACGAGCCTCCTCCCGGCACCAGGAAGACCAAAGGCCCCGGCCGCCCTGCGGGCACGGAGCAGCCCGAGGCCTCGCAGCACCGCCGGGCCGGCCGGACCTGCTGCTGCCCCGGGCTGTCCTGGAGCACGTGCAGATGCTAAGGGCTAATTGCCTTCACCGACTGTCTTGCTGAGCTGGGAGAGAGTTTCGATTTTAATTAAATGCTAACTGATTAGTAAAACATACTTACTGAAGACTGTCACCCAGCTGTCAACATTCAATAAATACATTAATAATCAATTTGCATGCAGTTAACATAAGATGATGTTAACGTCTAAATTAGAGGGGTATTGGAGAAGCAGCACGGGCCCCTCCAGCCTGCTCTCCAAGCAGAAGCCCCCCTCACAGGCACAGCGAGGGCTGGAGCTCCGCGCTGTGCACCAAGGTGGGTCCTTCTCAACCCCTGCAGTCACAACTGGCCACCGCTGCCACAGGTGCAATGGATATCAGGAACACGCTGCAATTCCCGGTGTTTTACCACAGACCTACGTGCCCCTTCAGTGCCATACGGCACAATGCGCTGCAGGCACCAGCGCCCGGAGCGGCAGCGCTGGCGGGAGGTGACCAGTGCCCTGGCACCCCGGCACCCCGTCCCTGTGCCACTGAGGGCGGTGACGCGTGGGGGCAGCCGCAGCCGGGCCGCGGTGAAGGACAAAGGCTGATTGAAGCAGTGAAGCAGCTTGCGAACACCCCCTCCCTGCAGCGCATGCAGCAGAAGCGCATGTAACGTGCATACATGGTGCTGCTGCTGCACGGGCGGCTTGCGGATCCTGTGCCGCCCGCGCCGGGGCTGCAGCCGCGACACTGGGGGCGCAGGGCAGGTTCTGGGGCTGGGGCGGCACCAGCACCGGGCCAGGCGGCACTAGGGCCCGCGGAGCTCGCGCGGGCGCCGCGCAGGGGTCTGCGGTGCAGCCGAGGGCTCGGTGCTGCAGCGCAGCCCCCGGCCGGGCCGCCATGCCACGCAGGGCTGGCGCTCCCGGTTGCGGCACCGGGGAGGCAGCAACCCCGGGCACTGCCGCCGTCCCCACGGCCCTGCGCCCGCTCGCAGCGCGGGGGAGGCGGCGCGGCCCCCGCCCCCACCTCTCCTCCTCTCATTTAAGTGGAATCAATTGTGCCATTTCTGCTTTGCTTTTCAAAAGCAATTACTTTCATGTCATTTCTGCAGACATTCGGGGAGAGCGAGGGAGTGAGGGCTTGATTATCCCCCTCCCCTCCCCGTCCTGTGGCTTCCGCTGTGGCGGTGAAGTATTAAATTAAATGAGGTGTCTATGGAGCAGCGATGGTTTCAGGTCAGAGGCGCTATGGAAAGCTGTATGCTGCACTGCTCCTGTATATGTAAATGGATATATTAAAACCACTGATGTCAACTTGCAGCACTCATCTCTTCTGCTCTCGGGTGATCAAAGCTGATTGCAGAGGCAATTACTGCAAAGGAAAAGAAAATCACGGCCTCCTGCTCATCCCTGAGCTACCGGGGTTTAATTGCTCAGTGTAGCTGAAGCTCCGCTGGCCTCCGCGTGGTGAGGAGCGCCCCGCGCAGGGAGACCGCGGCTCGCGTGGGGCTCGGCGCTGCACCGGGGCCGCCGGCCCCATCCGCCTTCCGCCGTGGCGGGACGGGTACCCACAGCGCGTGCCGCTCGCTTGGATGCATCGACAGCGGTGACCCAGCGAGCTCTGCTTATTTATTATTATTATTATTGTTGTTATTTTCCACTATTGCTGAAAACGCAGAGCCGTCCCCGGCGCGGCACGCAGAGCAGCCCCGCGTGTCCCCAGGCAGAAACCCGGGCGCTGCCCCGGGCACCGCGATGGGCGCCGCGGCCCCACGGGCGCGCGCAGGGCTGGCGACGGCAGCGTGGGGATGTGTCCACACCGCACCGCACCACGAGGTGTGCACCCATCTCCACTCAGGTATTAATAAACACAGCTGAGCTCTGGCTTGCCCCCCAGTCCTCCACTCTCAGCCGAACCTCATTCATAAGGTACAGATAGTGAGTATAAACATCTCCATAATAATGAAAGCATATGTTGAGAACAAAAGCAAATAAATGGAGAATAAAAATAAACATCCCAAGAAGCACCATGCTGACTGCATTAGTGATTTTCATATTTAATTGAAAGAAAATCTGCCTTTGGGTGTGATAAGCACAGAGCCCCGCTGTGGCATCCACGGCCTCCCCAGATGGGCCCAGAGCCTCCCGCGGGTGCAGTGTGGCTGTGGACGCATGTCCCATGGGACACGTGTGGTCCCGTGGCGCTGCGTTGCGCACGCGAGTGCCCGGTGGGCGCAGCGCATGCTGTGTGCGAGCTGGGCTGCCCACGCGACGAGCTCCGCAGAGCTAGCGCTCCCGCAGCTCAGCGATGCGCAGCAATAGATTGGCGCCATCGTGTTCCCAAATGCAGGGCATGGTGCTGCACACTTCATCGACACGCGCCTGCATCCCCTGTACCTGGGCAGAGGCACGGCAAAGAGAAGATGGGGCAGGGGCTGTGTCTGTAACTGTCCCGCATGGAGACCCTGCTCTGCTCTCCTGCCTTGGACTGCACAGCCCAGGGCCCGCTGAGGAGGCTGCCTGGATGAACAGCCCCGAGCAAGTCTATGCAGCGCTGGGGTCACTCGTGCCCTGAGCACTCCAGGCCTCCTGGGATCCTCTCCGGCCTCCACTCTTCCACTGTTTTATGATTCTGACTCTTAATACACGTTAAAGAATACAACTGAATGGGCGCAGTGGAGACTTGGAAGAATATCTCATGCAACTGAGATATTAGCACATGTTGGGACAGTTCTCAGAGGAACTGAGGAACCAGCACAAGGTCAATCTTGTGCAATACAAGTGCAACGAGCATAGCATGAAAAGAACTTAACTAGCCCACGAGCTCTGCAGTGACTGCAAGCAGAAGTAGAAAACACAATCAGGTGTCTAAGGACAAGCATGATAGCAGGAGCAAGTAGAGGGAAAAACTAAGAAGACACAACATGAGGTATAATCAGCAAGGGAAATCAAAAGCACCAAGGAAACATGAAAAAAACAAAAAAGTGTTGGCTTGATATTTAATATGTTACTGACATATGATGCTAAGAAGGCCAAAGTCTTTCATACCATCTTGGTCCTTTTCAGCCTTGTCTGAAAAGGTGACCAGCAAGCGCCCAGACGATGTCACTTCCATGTGAGATGATCTCAAGCATCACAGACTCAGAAATGGCTCCTCTAACTACAGATGCCACTTTAAAATGCCCAGGACAGTTAATTCAGGATTGCGGAGGCTGCTTCCTCCAGGAGATCTCTCAGACTGCATGGAGCGGTTACGGGATGGGAAACACACCATAGTTCTTAATATGCAGAGTACTAGGACACAGTACTCAAGAAATGAGGGTTTATGAAATCCCTATATTTCACACAGACATGCTGGCATACTCCCCCTTCACCACAAGCAAACACTCTGGGGACATGAGCTCTCACCTTGGTATTGGTGGCCATGGTCACACTGCTGCCAAGCTCCAAGACAGAAAGACTTCATTTGAAAGTTTGCTGACACAAAATTCAGCTCAGATGCTAAGTGTCTTAGTTAAGAACATTAATGGAAAGGGCCTCCATATTCCATCTGCTTTTCTTATGTTTACAGATGCTGTAAGACAGACCTGATGCACACAACTGCATCGCCACTGATCAGACCAGCAGCTGTGAGCTCGTCTGCTCTGCTGATGGACTGTGACTGCAGGCAAGTCATGCTGTACCGTGCTGAGAGACTGGATAACAAGAGGAACCGCACTGGAAAACCTTCAAGAAATTTGTTATCAATCTATCATGGGATTTCCTGAGGAAATAAATTCTCCATCTCTTCTCCAAGGAAGCATTTGAGACTCAGCTATGAGGAAAGTGG